ACTTTTGAGTAATCAACTTGGGACAAATAGACTCCAACATTAACCGTGACAAACATGGGATTCAGAATGAACCTTAATTGCCTTTAATCTGACAACTTTTCCAAGATTTTATTTACATGTTTTATATTAATTCAAACCTTGAACTCCCCTACCCACCCACCCACCTACCCCTCACCCCCGATTTTATTGCTATAGCACTTTAATTATTTTGTTAAAATAAAACAATCTATATGGACACGAACATTTTTTATTACTTGTAATGTGATTTAGTACACTTGCTAAATATCTATCATCAAGAGGAATTATATGGAGTCATTGGATATCTCTAATCTAGCAAACTATGGTGATGACATCTATCAAAGAATTCATATCATGCCTCGTCAGATAGAAGAAGTCAATTCCTAGTTGAAGTGTTGAATTGATGGTGAATCTAGCAAGAAATCTTGAAGTGTCAAGGTTGTGAAAGAGAGGAAATGTGAAATTTCTTCTGGTCTTGTGTCTAAGTGATCAATGTATTGTAAAAGTATAAGATCATCTCCTAAGATACTAGGAAAATATTTTTTTTATAAAACCACGAGAAAATGTTTTACGCATGTAGCTAATTGGTTACTAGCTTGAATAATCTTCTATGAGTGTAGTTTACACTACATAATCATTTAACACATTAGGTTTAATCAATCATCTCTTTTGTAACACCTCTTAATCGATTATGAGGGCTTTTTATCAATTAGTGAAGGTAAATTTGAAAACTTTCCATATTCAACCAACATAATTGATTAAGTGATAAGCATAATTTATTATGAGCATCAAAAATCCCAAAAATCATTTTCCTTTTTAAGTTATATTTGTTATAATGGGGGAGAATATGGATTTGAATGGTCTATAAGGGGGTTGAACAAACCTTCCCAGAAAATAGACCAATTTTAAAAATTTACTTTTGAATATCATGAATATCAAAGTTTGAAAATTAGTTTTGCCTAGTGAAAATTATACATACAATATGTGTGTGTGTGTGTGTGTGCGCGCGCGCGTGTGTATGTGTGTGTGTGTGTGTGTGTGTGTTTTAGATGGAGCATAGTTAACACTTAATGAAAAACACAAAATAGAAAAAAGATGAAAATTTCTAATCAATCAATGTCTTGATTGAGTCAAAATCGATTTACACAAGGTGTGTAAAGCGAGTCTTTTCAATTGATCAAGAAACCTAATATTACATTTTTTTTTCAATGTTAATCAGCAATAAGAAAGTTCTGGAGTCTCAATCTAAGAAAAAAACCTAAAACTTATCTACAAAATTGTTATCAATACGATGATTCCTAATAACATGCAATCCTATACGAAATGTATAGAGAAAGAGATAAGAAGATGGTACGTAGAATTTATAGTGGTTCGAAAATTTGTTCTCACTTATGGCTACTCCATTCTTTGATGGTTTCCCATTGAAAATTTTGTGTTCATCCACTGTGATTTTTGACAATTTTACATTGATTTTTTAAGTACAAACACAATTCGAATAATGCTGGAAAAATTTTTTGATCTCAATCCTCTTTGGCTATACATATCTTCTGACACTAAATTCTTGTGAAATATTTACTCGACTTTGACTTCAATCTTCTAGCTTCAAGAATGTTCTCTAACCTTTCATTCTGCAGTGACTTTTACTCAATTCTACTGGTTTCTTGAGCCTTGAACATTCTAAAGATGAGAAAACTCAAACTTCGTATGTAGGCTTCGACACAACTTTACCGAAGTAATTTTGGAGAAAAGAACCTCCTTCTTTTTTCGCCGTATTTATCAATCCCGGCCACAACCACACACAGAAAAACAGATGCCAGAACTTCAAGAAATTGAGTTTGAATATTCTTTCTTCGCTTAAATCTTCAAGAAATATTCACAAAACTTTAATCAAAAAAATATTCTCCTTGTAGATCTCACACCCTAAGATGAGAGCTTAATCCAAACAATAATGGATGATGCAAGAGGTTGAGTATGAAGACATATTTTGATTGCAAAACTCAAAATAAGATTCAAAATCCTTTTTTAAAAGTTGAGTAACTTCGTGTTGTGATTTGCAAATCAGTAAGTGGGTCTGTGTGTTATGAACATTGTGAAATGGATTTAGAAAAATTATTTATATATATGTTAGAGATCAAGCACAAAAATGAATGAAAATGTCATTTAATTTGAGTCACATACAAGAAGTATGAGTCGAGTCAAAAAAGTGAATGATTTGAATCAAGATCCAAGAACTAAGAAAACTACTCTCATGATTCAAATCATCCCTTTATAATTTGAATCATGTGATTTGAGACAACTAGATATGTGATTCGAATCAGAATCACATAACCAAATTCCAAAATTTGTTGTCTAAATTTGATTCGAATCAAACATGTTTATGATTCAAACCAAACCTTTCTTATTCAAGTTATGCATTATTGTGATTCGAATCAAAATTAATAAGGCAAAATTCTATTTTTCAAACATGTGTTTGATTCAAGTCGGTAAGTTTTGTGATTCGAATCAGACTCACAAAAGCAAAATCTTGAATTTTCTATAAAGTTTGGTTTGAGTCATGAGATTTTGTGATTGGAATCACACTTCAATATTTTCATAGTTTCATCAAAATGAAGTGATATTCTAAATTGGAACTTGACATGACTTACACCACTCTCAAATGAGTTTTCTGATTCAAACCTTTGACTATTTGACTATAAGTATATTTCTAAGACTGTAATTAAACAACTTGATATATACATTCATAAAAACAATTAAGAATTCAACCCTAGAATGTGCAACTATGTGAGGAGGCTCAATTATTACAAAATAAATTAACAACCAAATTAACAATCAACAAAATATAAACGAGTAAACCCAATGAGGTAGAGACAACTTCAATCACCACTTTTTTATGCTTGGCAAGCTTGCAGTTTTGCAATTGAAATTGAGTCGGCCTTTAAGCAGATAGGAGAAAATTGTGATCAGTTATTTCCTCTTTTGCGTGTGTTTCCCCTTAAACATACCATAATATTAGGCTTAAGGTATTAGAATGGGAGAAAATATTTCATGTTGGGAAAAGATACACATTAATTGAAAATTTACATCACACTTTACACCACATTAAAACTAGTTTGGTGTTTGTATTATTAGGTTTCATATAATTCAATAACAGCAAAAATAACCAAGTCTTATCCCACTAAGTGGAGTTGTCTACATGGATCAACTTTCGCCATAATATTCTATCAAGGATCATGCTTCTATCCAAATCGTTAGTCTCGATATATTTCATAATATTTTCTCTTATAGTCTTTTTAGGTCTTCCTCTTTCTCTAGCTGTTTGACTTCTCTCCATCTAATATACTCCTTACCACCGAATCTATAGGTCTTATCTCTACATGCCTAAATCATCTAAGTTTATTTTCCATTGTCTTCTCTACTATAGGTTTTATCCAAACACTCTCTAATACTTTCATTTATAATCCTCTCTTGTTCAATCTTACCACACATTCAATGCAAAATCCTCATTTCTATTGCACTTACTTTATTTTTGTATTGATTTTTAACCGCACAATATTTTATCTCGTACAACATCGTAAGTCTTATCGTAGTCCAATGAAATTTTCCCTTCAACTTAAGTGGTACCTTTGCATCACATAAAAGCCCTGGAACTCTCCTCCGTTTTAGCCACCCACCTTGAATTTGATGGTTTACGTCCCCTTCTATTTCTCCATCATTTTATATTACGGATCCGAGATATTTAAACTGTGCGACTTGAGGGATGATACGATTTTTAACTTTCACCTCTAGATTAGAAGCGTTTCTTATTTTGTTGAACTTACATTCCATATATTATGTCTTACTTATACTTAGGTGAAAACCATGTATTTCTAAAGCTCGTTTCCAACCTCTCATTTAAGTTCTCCTTCGACTCTTCAAGTAGGATTATATCATCTTCAAAAAGCATTACGTGAGTGCATTCAAAATTAAGGTAAAAAGATGTGTTTAGAGTTGAACCTTGAAAAAATCGACTGTCTCTCCATCCTTTGTCCACCACACACTAGTCGATACCTCTTCATACATATTTTGGATAGCTCGAATATGTAATCCTGACCCCTTTCTTCTCTAGAGTTTTCCACTGAATCTCTCTAGACATTCTATCATATGTCTTCTCCAAGTCAATAAAAATTAAGTGAAGTCTTTTTTATCCATCTAATATTACTCAATCACATGTCGTAGTAGATAAATCACTTTCATGAAGACATTCTAGACATAAAACCAAATTAATTCTCACTAAGTTGAGTCTCTTTTCTTAGTCTTCACATGTCATAGTAGATAAATCACTTTCATGATCAACATTCTAGGCATAAAACCAAATTAACTCTCACTAAGTTGAGTCTCTTTTCTTAGTCTTCGCCCAATCATCACTCTTTCGCATAACTTCATGGCAAGACTCATAAGTTTAATTTCCCTATAATTTGTATAATTTTGTATATCTTCTTTGTTCTTATAAATCATAAATAAAGTATTTCTTCTCTTTTCATCTTGCATTTGTTTTGACCTCATAATACTATTATCTCAAAATTCCATATTTAAATAGATATATTATATGGCCAACTGCCTTGTTACTCATCATTTCTTTGTAGAAATTTGTGATAGGTTGTAAAATTATATTTTGTTTAAACCAAATAAATTAATTGAAATTTAGACATTGTGAATTTAAGCTCATAGTTTTAAATATCATACCTATAATTTCATAAGCCGTCGTGGCCTTTGATTAAAAAGAGTTCAATTAAATTAACTTATCTCACATTCATTACCAAGTTAACCCAAATAAAAGCAAACCGATACCAAAAAAATTCAAACTTTCAAGGTATACACAAGTTATTTGATTAAAATTTGGATCTTATTATACAACACATTTCCTAGAACGAGCAGTAATGAGTAGAGGCTAGCACCAAAATAAAACAGTCTTGTTGTACTTGATACACATTTTAGAAATAAAACTAAAGCCCAACCCAGTATGAACGTCCATTACTGTTGTGAATTGGAGACGGCGAAGGAGATGTTACACACCACTCATACCAAACCTGTTTCAGATTACATAAAGAATTCATAATTTTAACTAAAAGGAAACAAAGACGATGAGATGAATACAAAAATGATGAACTAAAATATCAAACTTGCTAGAGATAAAATAGACCTTCTTAGGACCACAACAGCGCCAGAAATCTACTTCAAGTTTAGAACCTGGTTTCACACAAATAGGAGTCCTTAGAGGGAAAAATATTGAAAACCTGCAGATAGAAGAGAACAAAGCATAAAATATCAGTTCAACTTGGTACAATAAAATATCACTGCAACAAGTACATATCAGCACAAAACATGGTGTTGGTCGTCATCATCAGTACACACTTGAATAAGTAAAATCTCAGAAATAACACGCCACACATGAAAAAACCCTAAACCAATCAAAATAGAATCATATAAAATCATTGAGCAACCAATGGAAGCCACCAAATATTTGGATTCTACATGAATGTAGTACTGGATTGTTACTAGAACTGTTGGCAATTTCTGACTCTAAAAAGGGAGCACCCAACTAAAAAATTGCTAGGTTTAAAAAAAACACATAACATTTAATCAAACAAGCCATTATAATGGTGTCCTCGTGCTTTAGGTAGCACAGAATCGCTAATTTAAGAGGGGATGTTTGTGTCATAAACACAGATTATAGACAACCTTTGCCTACTTGATGTGTCATCAAACTTAACCAGTTCAGTTTGGTATTCAGCATGTAATTTCTTTAGAAGGATATATCGTCCTTTGATGATGTACTTTATTTATTTCCTCCAATCAAAATGCCTCTTATGCCCCAAAATAAAACAAAATGTAGGTAACAAATCTCATTACCAGCTGAACATATTTGGTGTAGCAGTTAAAGGTTCAATCCCAAGATGCACGTCCTTGTAAAGAGTAGCATCAAAGTAGCCAGCAAATCCTATGAACATGGGGTACACAAGGTTAGTACCGAAAGGATAAATATAACATCTGCATTATAGACGGTTCATTTGCACAATACTTAATATGAGATAACATTAGGCACTGAGTGTCTATTTGGTGTAAGAAGATTTCAAAAACTTCCAAATATCTAAACCATTTAACAACCATGTCCACGCAATTTTACTATTTCCGAACAACTTGCTATGACTGTTTTATAAATGGCGAAATGAACAATCATAAAGTAGCTAAGATAATCAATGTTGGATTTTGAATATCTGAGACAATTAAAGTTAAAAACTGAATATATTAAGATAAATCATTTCCAATAAAGCCAAATTAGTCCATAAGAATAGAAATAGAAAAACACCACTTACCATGTACCATTGTGGATCCAGTGTCATTTGGTATTGTAAAATGCAACTTCTTATAGCGTTGATTGCTTTCTCTATCATCGGCAGGTTTTGGATGAGTAAATGTAAAAACCTAAGAGAAAACCAACAGAAAGAAAAGAAATTAAATTATCAATAATAACGAGACAAAACACATAACTAACATTTAAACCAAGAATGGTGAGTAGATTCGCATCATATATATACAATAAACTGCACGGTAAGAAAACGCACAGATTGACATGGTGCAAGTCGAGCTGCATTGTGTATTTTAACAACATAAGCAGTTTCGAAGTGTGAAATATCTTTATGTGCCTTAACCTGAAATACAACCACAAGTGCGTATATTAATTAAGTAATAAATAAATTTAATAATAAAAACTGAAATGGGAATACAGGAGATATACATCATTGTATAACTTAGAAGCTGTCACTGGTTGAATGAAACTTGTGTACCTGAAAGTAGATATTACATAAAAGAGATTACAATACATCATTGTATAACTTTTAAGGTTATTGATTTTAAGTTCTCACAATACTGGTCATCACTATATCAAAAATAAAAAAAGAAATTCCAAAAGATAAACTATTATACAACAAAAGGAATTTACATACGAAGACGGTATTGAAATTCCTCCAGGCTTTAAAAACCTCTGAGCTCCATCAAGGCACTCGGGAGACAGTTCATTGTCACCAAAAGAACCTAGCAATTCACTAACCTAAATTCAAGCCAACAACAATCAGACACTAGAGAGCATAAACAACAAAATTCAAACAATAAATAAAGTGAGCATAGGAAGTTACCAATATATCAGCTTTTTCAGGAGCATTCCAATAGCGCATGTCGCATGAGACTATAGTAACGGTATCCTCCCATCCCTCTAATCTAACTAATGCCTGTTGCAACAAATGACTCATGTCAAAATTGATTGAAGGATAATCTCAAACCATGGTAAGAATAAGTAAAATAATTTACATATTGTACTAAAAAAATAAAAGACAATTAGAGAACACAAAATCAAGAAATTGAAACTGCACTCTCATGAACAAGAGATAAAAAAATGTTACATTGACCAAACATTAAAGGCACTACTATACACTCATCTTACCTGCCATGTTTACATACAGGTGCTAAAAACTAAAAACAGCATTTAGCAAAACAAAATAAGAGCATTGGCATATACTAAAACATTTAAAACACACTTCACTAAAAATAATATTTGATGAAGTTTATGAATTGAACGAGTATTTCTACTTCAGTAATAAACAAATAGCATTATCTTGGAACATAATTTCATGGAACTACTATAAGTTAAAAGATAACTAACGTGAAGGGTAACAACTGCATTTGGATTCTTCTCAACAGCGTAAACTTTTAGCTTTCGCCCAGTTTCTTCGGAAGCCTACAAATCAATGGGCAAAAAAACAAGTCTACAGTATATCCAATCTGCATTCTACAGTCATTTATTGTAAACAATTAGATAAAATATCACACCTGTAATGATGCCCGCACAAGAGGTCCACGCCCTGCCCCAACAACCATTAGTACCTAGCAATGAGTAAAAACAATTAAACTCCACATCTGTCCTATTTTGCACAGGCATCCAATGTGCTGTTTATCAAACACAAAAATAGCAATTAAAAATACATTGACCTCCCCTCAACTACACGCGTCTCCCTTCTATGATGTAAAAATAGAGGGAGAGACATTTAAACATAACTGAGGGGAGGTGAAGCAATTTTACAAAATAATTTAAAAAATAGAAGGGGACGTGTTTCAATTAAGCATAGCCTAAAGGAGTTGCGTGCAATTTCTCTTAGATACTAAAAATCTTACAAGGGTTTTAACAGATGCCTCATTATCTGGAATCATGTCCAGCATTGCTTTACTTACTGCTCTTTGATACTGTAAAAAGAAAAGTTAATGATTAGACTACACATACAAAACTTGGAACCCAGGTCAAAACATAGATATAATTTTTAAGAAAATCTGACAATGCTTTGATGTATGATCACGATCAACAGCTGACAATATAAAATATCATTTAAATTACCTAAACAAACTAAAATAGAAAACAGACATCAAACATTGGACAACAGTTTAATAACATCCGACAATACTTTGATGTATGATCACATTCAACAGCTGACGATACAAAATATCAATTAAATTACCAAAACAAACTAAAATAGAAAACAGACATCCGAATGGGACAGCAGTTGAAAAATACATGAGGGAGAGGGTACTGAATCATAAAGTTCGTCATGTTTGTAGAAGAAGTGCTATTATAGCTATGGGATTTAAAGGACAGAGAAAACATAAACATAAATCGTATGAGCAAAGTTGAGAATAAAATTTATATATTGCAGTACCTGAATGTATTTCATAGCATCTTTCTCAAAAGTCTCATAAGTTCGAGCCTCCAAATTATCCATCAAAGGCTGCACACACAAATTTCAAAGATCTCAAGATTTCATATTTGAATTAGCAAAAGAATAGAAGCCAACAAATGATTAGAAAGCATCATGACAAAGAATGCTTACTTGTAAAGGTGACTGTAAATAATCCCTGTATCCAAGCTGGCATAAAAAGCTGGGAGTCAAGAGAAGATAAAGGCAATAATGCCATGCCAATATTACAAACATATGTCAAGATAAATACCTCAAAACGTTCTTGCTCAGGAAGAGGATCCAACTTTTGGTAAAGATGTCCAACATATTCCAGATATGGACGCAAAGGATGTCTTTGTGAATCTAAGGTGCAAAACATATCACTATAAACAGAAGGTTTTGGCCAAGGACACAATCCAAGAGCATAATAATTGAAGAAACAGTGGAACATCAAATCACAACTATCACATTGCATGCAACATACAAAGCACAAACATGTGCAAATAGGCATATACAAAGTAAGGAACATGATACTCAAATAAATATTAATTACTATATAAATGAGATGAATTTTGCAGCTTCTATCCAGGCCTAATAGTAGTGCATGATAAATAGAACATGATACTCAAATAAATATTAATTACTATATAAATGAGATGAATTTTGCAGCTTCTATCCAGGCCTAATAGTAGTGCATATAAATAGAACAATATTTACAAACAAAATTACAAGGAAGAATAAGATATTTTACTACTACTTGCAGAAAATATTCAGTTTCCATTTCTAAAATATCTGTTGATTTTAAATTGTTAACTAGAAGTTTAAAGACTGCATAGTGAACAATTGTGATATAGATAATTAAAGACTGCATAGTGAACAATTATGATATAGATAATATTTAAGGGAAACAATAAAGATGCATTTGTAAAAATAATGAAATTAGTATTTTTCCACTTTCAAAACTTCTAACAGGTAGATCTATTTTTGAAAATTAGTAAAAGAAACTGGAGAGAAAAATAAATAACAGACCCATGAGCTAAGAACAGGAACTTACCTGCACCAGAACGTGAATCTACACCCACACTTGCTTTAGCATGACCAGAATTTCCAGATATAATTATCTACATAGATGTTTCAAACTCGCTCAATACCTTTTGAAGGAAAACAATGATACTTGAATTTAAATTCCATTCGACTTAATCAATTAAGCAAGAACGTGGTATCCACAAAAAAACGAAATACACAACCATAGGAGGACAGCAAGGTTGTATAAAATACCAATAATCTCTCAACTTATTTTAAGTGTGAAAACACTATTGCCTGAAAATTCAAAGAATGATTTACCTGTATATTATGGTTAAAAAACCGGGTAATCAACATCTGATGGCGCTTGGAGAGGCACGGATACCCACGACCATTAGTTAAAAATGACTGGTAAAATTCCAATCAAAACCTTTATAAGTTTATATAACAATCAGAACTAGGAAGCCTGATATTTGAAAAATTGATTATAACCACAAGATGTCCTTACATCAGTATTTAGAATAGCTGCTCTAACAGACTCCCCAAACCACCTTCCTAATGAATTTGCTGAAGGCAACGTACTCCTAATGAATAAGAATAAAATAACAACCATCACAACTTAGGAAATCCAATACTGAATTAGTGCATAAATAAGGGAATAAAATCATGCAAAAAAATCGAAGGTCACTTCATACAATAAAGTGTAATATATTAATAAACTAAGTGCAAAATACTCACAGAATATCAAGTGCAACTGACAGTTGACTGTGGTGCTCGCACAGCAGACGAAATGAATTCCATGTCTCCCAGGAGTCAACCTAAAATCAGGATTGAAAGTCCTAAAAAGGCACAAAACACATAACATCCTAATTCTTTACTGTGTGCAACAAGACTAAATTGTTATCACCGAACTTTCTACCTTTAAATGAATTGATCACCAGCAAAGATATAATATACAAAAAGATATGCAAATCATTCCAATGTCAGGTGTTGATGAACACAACATCAAACAAATCCCAGAATTCAGCAGCTTCAACGTTTGTAAGTCTATTCAGAATAAAAGTTAATTTTTAATATTTAATATAATTTCAGTTAGAACAAAAATTGATTGGGATTAAGTTGTCATATTCCTGAATTTCAATCAAAAAACAGAGGAATCTTATTAAAATGATGAATTCTTAATTTTCATATCACGTGTTGTGTTAAATATAACAGCAGTACACCAAAAAATAACAAAAAATGTAGTAATACATAATGGCATTGCAAAGTATAACGATCTAGATAAAAATAATACCAAAAAATTATATTAACTTCAAACATAACACATTGTGCAACATAGCATGTTTAACCCCAAGTACCAGACGAAATCAAGCAAAATTTACATTTGAGGCACACACAATACAACAAGAGTTGACTTGAGAATATGACAACTAAGAGCTTGTAAGATTTGAGAAACCTTTTGTTTACACTAATAAATACAAAAACAAAATCACTATATGTTCTTGTCTCCCATAAAAATTAATGGAACACAATAATCACACTGTAAAAAAGGGCATTTGTAGTTATTAATGTAACATTTTCATTAACCAAAATAAGACCTAAGAAATCCACATTTGAAACAAATATAGGAAAGTGCATATGAATTGCCCTTGCAGAGAAAAGACAGTGTAATGGTTAATAACATTAACCCAGCCAAGATACAGAACATTGAAGACTAGACATTCATGGCATGCTTCTAGCATATTTACTCACCAAAGTGGCTGAGTTTGAATCTGTTGACGTAACATCATCAGCATGCAGAACCAAGGGAATCCTAAGCCACAGCTGTAGTATGCAACAAAAGAGACATTAAGATCAGACTGAAATATTGACACTTATGAAGAAAATACATATAACCAATCACAAAGTTTGAACTCAGAATAGCATAGCACCTGCATATTACTCAGGTCCTGTAAGATTTGATTCACACACCGTGCATAATTAGCACAAGTGGATCCTTTAGGGGTAGGAAGCAGGCAAGCCTACAGTATACTAAAAGAAATTAGGAAAAACAATAGTGTTATAAATAGCAAATGGCAGATGATGTTGGCAAGCCAAACTTCCAAATGTGAAAGTTCCTTCAACTAGGTTTCACAAAAGATAAAGCAGAGCACAAAACAAATGTGGAAGTTCCTTCAACTAGGTTTCACAAAAGCACACCTGTAATGAGAGATGAGAAGCCCAGGCTAGTTCTTGTTTAAGAGTGGTTTCAGAATCAATTCTAACAGTCTCATCTTCAGAGTCCAAATCAATCCATGAGCTAATTTTACCTAAGTAAAATGCAATAAATTGCCTGATAAGTTTCATAATCATGATAATGAATAGAAAACCCGCTACTAAAAGAATAAAAGACTGAATGCACGAAAAGAAATGTAAGCTCATCAAATACTTGACAATATCAGCATCTATGAAAAGCATCATTGTAAAAACAAATATATGCTTTCTTGAATACCAATTTCTCAGACAACAATAAGGAAAAATAAAAGTGAACAATCTTAGCAATATATAGAGAAAACAACAACTTAAAAGTTATGTAAAAGCTGTATTAAAAAAATTTGTTTTGGATCATTAAGCGATTTCAAACAAAAGAGCCTTACAAAACTCAATTAAATAAGTATGCTTCCAATCCAAGAACACAAATGAAGTAGGAAAAAATAAAAAGGCAGATTTATAATGAAATTGGAATAAATCATAATATAAATCAAAAAACATCAACACAAAGTAAGAATGATTGACAACTCATACCAACTACATGACTACTCCACTGGGATGGGCTTAAGACCAAGTCTGACCCAGCAAATGGCGGGGCTGCAGATCCAAAACTATTATTTGGCACCAAGCTTGGCCTATAGGAAGGATCTGTCTGAATTGTACCATAAAAACATGTGAGATCACAAGTACCAAGATAAACTACATAAGCTTAAGATATGAAAACAGAACATGAACTATCCATTGGAAGATAAAATATCACAATTAATCCCCCCTTAATATCCATTTGGAAGTATGCTGCATCGTATGTCCATGCATTGTTTCAGTAATGTAGTCCATTAAACTCTTACAGTGAAACCACGTTTATTCAGCATCACAGATAAAGCACAAGACAATGTTACTTTGGGTAAGCCTACTGACCAATCATATATGATATGACAGCAGCAAGCTGCAACATAACTGGCTAATTGGCTACCACATAGAAGTGAAAAAGAAATTGAATTTTCTGTTTCCTAATGAAGAGTCTTCAGATTATTATACATACAAGACACGATAGCTATTAACTATTCAGTATTAAGCAAGTAGCAGATGCTAACTTCTCAAGCAGATCTTAGAACATTCTAGGTTACACTAATACACAAATTACAAAATCACATGAAGAAACAGAACCAATCAAAAAAATGAATCTCATAAACTACTACTAATGTAGTGAAATGTAGTTCAATAGAGCGATCCAGTGAATCCTCAAATGCTCGCAATGGAGCAGCTTCACTGGAAAAGGCTCATGGAACAGTTTCAATCTTGGTGAGCTTACTGACCACACACACAAAGGAACAACTATGAAGCTGCAGCGTGAATGGCTAATTAGTCACCATAAACATCCAATACAAAACAAAACAAAAAACTTTGATTATAGAACACGCTAATTGGCTCCCGTAAGAGCGCATAGATTGATACTCCAGCAAAAAAGAAACTGTATGAAATGAAAATTGAACCTAAATTATGCTACCTAATGAAGAGTCTTCAGACAATTATTCATACAAAATATTAGTTAATTAACAGTTATGCAACTACCTAGCAGTTAGGTAAGCAATCTCACAGATCTTAGAACACTCCAGTTTACACTAATACATAACCAATACATAAGTGAATCACATACAGAAACATAACTAAACAGAAAAATGAAACTAGCAAAACTGCTCCTAATGTCAAGAAATGTAGTTCAATAAAGCTATCCAGTGATTCCTCAAATGCCCTTGATGGAACAGCTTCACCGGAAAAGACTCATCGAACAGTTTCAATGTAACTGGCTAATTGGCTACCACATAGAAGTGAAAAAGAAATTGAATTTTCTGTTTCCTAATGAAGAGTCTTCAGATTATTATACATACAAGACACGATAGCTATTAACTATTCAGTATTAAGCAAGTAGCAGATGCTAACTTCTCAAGCAGATCTTAGAACATTCTAGGTTACACTAATACACAAATTACAAAATCACATGAAGAAACAGAACCAATCAAAAAAATGAATCTCATAAACTACTACTAATGTAGTGAAATGTAGTTCAATAGAGCGATCCAGTGAATCCTCAAATGCTCGCAATGGAGCAGCTTCACTGGAAAAGGCTCATGGAACAGTTTCAATCTTGGTGAGCTTACTGACCACACACACAAAGGAACAACTATGAAGCTGCAGCGTGAATGGCTAATTAGTCACCATAAACATCCAATACAAAACAAAAACAAAAAACTTTGATTATAGAACACGCTAATTGGCTCCCGTAAGAGCGCATAGATTGATACTCCAGCAAAAAAGAAACTGTATGAAATGAAAATTGAACCTAAATTATGCTACCTAATGAAGAGTCTTCAGACAATTATTCATACAAAATATTAGTTAATTAACAGTTATGCAACTACCTAGCAGTTAGGTAAGCAATCTCACAGATCTTAGAACACTCCAGTTTACACTAATACATAACCAATACATAAGTGAATCACATACAGAAACATAACTAAACAGAAAAATGAAACTAGCAAAACTGCTCCTAATGTCAAGAAATGTAGTTCAATAAAGCTATCCAGTGATTCCTCAAATGCCCTTGATGGAACAGCTTCACCGGAAAAGACTCATCGAACAGTTTCAATGTAGGTGAGCTTACTGACCACACACACAAAGGAGCAACAGCAAAGTTGCAGTGTGAATGGCTAATTAGTCACCATAAACTATCCAATCCAATACATTAAAAAAAGAATAATTAGCAATGTAGCACCGACCGTGTCGAATACTTGCACCAACACTTGTTATTACATTTAATTTATTCATTTTTTCAAATTATTATCAATGTCCCAGTATCAGTGTCGGGGTCATGTTTGGGTGTCCGTGCTTGATAGATAATTAGTCACCATAAACTATCCAATACAATAATTAGCTAATTAATCGTTATTTAATTTTAACTACTAATATGTTACTTAACCGCTCTAACAACAATCTAACAGATATTAGAACATTCTAGATTACACTAATATATTAACAATACAGAAATGAATCACATACAGAAACAGAACTAGACAGCAAAATGAAAATCGCAAAATGGCTCCTAGTTATATATAATGTAGTTCAATTGAGCTATCCAGTGAATCCTCAAACGCTCGCAATGGAGCAGCTTCGCCGAAAAAGGCTCATCGAACAGTTTCAATCTAGGTGAACTTACTGACCACACACACAAAGGAGCAACAATGAAGTTGCAGTGTGAAAGGCTAATTAGTCACCAAAAACTACAAAAATACTTCAACTATCAATTTATCAAATAGATAGAACACGCTAAAATTAACATAATTTCATGAATTTGCGAAAATCAGTTGGAATGAGTATGAAAGGAACGAACCAGAGGAGCAACAACGAAATCGAATTTTCCCGTGGAAAGATTGAAAGTAATGACTTCAGGCATGTCATCGCTGAACTCTGTTTCTACACCGCAAAATCGAGCTTCGCTTTTATCACCTCCTCTGTCTCCGAGAGGCATTTTCGCTTCAACTGTTATGCGAATGTCGGTGGAGGAAAAGGAAAGAGTTAATGGCGCTGAGAGGTATTTATAGTGAGCTCGGAGGCTTTGATGCAGCGTGGTCGACGGGGATGTAAGAGAAATGGAGAAGTAGGTGAGGGTTTTGGTAGGGTTTTTGTAGAGGATGGTGGAAACGCAACTCTACTAGTCACTACACTGCTAGGGTTTTTCGGCTTACAAAATATTTGGGCTTAAACTTTTTATTGAGAATTCTACCTGGTATTCCCAGCTTCTTCCTGACACCCCCATGTTACAAACAATGGAGATTTCTTTTGGCATCATTTTTCATGTTCATGCACCCTTCAAAAAAATCAATAATGTCTTTAAAATTCAGAAGTTAATTTTCGAACGTCTTTAAAATGCAATTAAAGTCAAGTCTTAGACTCAAACTATAATATAGATGAATATATATTGAGGTTAACTTCCGTATTTTTTAGGGAGGTTAAGTTACGTATGCATTTGATTCATATAACGCGTCAGACCTCTCCACTTCCTTTTTCTTTATTTCATTTAAGATCGTTTATTCAAAACTCAAAACAGAGCCCGTGAACAAACTCTATTTACATCTTTTTCAAGTTTTCTCCATGCTTTTAGTACATTGCATTCAAGGCTAGGACATCAATCAACCTTTACTCCATTTTAGTCAATCGAAAAATCGTCGACTTCTCACATTCTTTAAGTTTTTCATTTTCTTTCTTTTTTATTTTGTGATGCATTCGTTTGAAGTTAAATGCATGATAGGTTCTTTATGATACCTTATGACGCATAATAGGTTGTTTAGTAAGGCGTGCATGTAGATTTTTTTAAGTTTGTAGTAAAAGCATTTGGGCATACTGTGTTTCTGCGTTTTCATGTTGCAGAGAGATACGGAAGTTAACTTCTGATTTTTTGTTCTGCAATACGAAAGTTAACTTCCAAATTTTATTGTGCTACGTTGTTTTTCTAATTTCTCCTGTTTTGTTCTCTGATTTTGGTTTCTTTGATTATGATGTGATTTTTCCTGTTATAATTACAGGTAAAATGTATGAAAACATAGACGGATTGATGCATGGTAGAGATGGTCCAACATGTTTTCGTTTGGAGGAAAAGAGTTACACCTTCTCGCCTAGTCGTTGTTGCCACTTCATTTGATGTTGAAGTATCGTCTTTCGGAGTTTACATGTCTCTGACATCGTCCTTCCAGAGACCTGAGTCCTTTTCTGTTGTTTCTAATGCCCCAAAAGTCCAACCTATTATTGTCGTTTCCGATGTTTATTCAGGAGGCTCCTCAGACACCTTATAGATTTATCTGTATGTAAACCATGTTACGAGACACATGTGAGATGGATAGGTAAAATAATCATGTATTTATTATTTTAAACATGTGTGTTAGAAGATTTGAACATTCTGATGTTAATGTATATTTTTATAGCATTGTGAGTCGTTGAAATGTACCCACCATGGTAGGAAGATTGTGAATTTTCCACATCCTAATGAATTATGGTTTACAGATGTCATGCAACTATTTGGGTTGCAAGATTTGTCCAAGAATGGCTATACCTATAACCAAGGTTTGTTATCTACTTTCATCGAGAGATGACAATCACGCTTAATAATGTGTCATCCGTCTTACATCTACTTGAGCGAGTCATTCGCCAATTCAGGTATCTACAGAGTATTCTAAAAGCCATCATTATTGTTGCTCCTCCCCCACTCTGTCACAAAGATGTTGATGAGATATTTATGAAGTATCTTGATCATCTGGTCCTAGAGTATGTATGTAGTAGGTCAGCTTTTCAACCATGGAGTTTTGCATTTAGCTATATCCAATGGTTTTTTAGAGTGTCACATCCTTATATGACACTGGATGTGTATGGAGAGCCACCCAGGTCATCTCATCAGAATATATTAAAGGAGGATTAAGCTAGGACAAATCATGTCGTTGATGTGTTACCTTTGTATCAACGTATTGTGGTTATTGGGTGAACAGGTATATAGAGAGAGATAGGAGAGTTTTAGAAAGACACTCCTGGGAGGGGAACTGTAGAGGTCGTGATAGTTTATACACATAATGTATTGCAGTACAAGAGGCATAAGAGGAATTGGGGGTCATATATACCCAATAGTTGACATTTTTTGTATTTTAATCATTTGTATTTTTGTTTGTATTTTGTGAATAATATATGGTTTGCATTTTGACTTAATATATAGTATTTTGATTGAATTACATGAGTGTATGGTTTGATTGTATTTTTTGATCAAAGTATTGGTTGAATTATATTATGTTTATTAAAATATGACAAATTTATAACAAAAATATTGCATATGAGGGGAAAAATTTGTCTTGAGAGTTAATATGAAAGTTAACTTCTGCAATATCCACTGAGTTGTGAAATAAACACACTACCATGAGTTTAAAATGTGACCTATAGGTTAGTACGAAACTTAATTTACATGCTCACTCTTCCATTAATGCGGAGGTTAACTTCAATATTAATTTTTTTCAAAATAGAGATGCTTCGCTTACGAAGTGCTTTTGCATGTGTAGGGGAGGGCGTTTGAGGGTTAACTTTCACAGTTATCCCTAAATCATTAAAATAGGAAAAAAAATGGATTTTTTTTTAAATTATGTGTTTGTTCAGATATTGGTTCAAAATACCAGATTTTTACAAATAATCCCTGTTTACTGGTCAATTTTTGTATTTTTACCGGATATTTTCCTACAATAACGGATTTTTCATATAATTCCTAAATTTTCACTGGATTTTCTAAATGTCAAGTACCAAGGTTTTAGGGTTATACCAGATTATTAATAAAATTTTGTATAAACCCATTGTTTATATGTCTTACTACCGTAATTTTTAAAAGTTTGATAAGGAAACATGAAGTTATACTAGATATGTAAAAAATATGATAAGACTCTCAATTGGACTATTGAATTTATTGAAATGTCTGGTATGCGCAAGGTGTTACTGGATTTTTTTTTAAACATGGTAGGCAGTAGTGTGCTGTTTTTTGTGTTTTTTTACTATGTTTTATATATTATATAAAAACTAACATCACAATACTATAATATAAACATAACTTAACTTATATTTTCATGAACATAGCGCAATACAACATGACGTAACAAACAAACATTTTGGTACAATCACAACTCAATAAAATACAAAATTGAAACCTCTACTCCTTCAAATACATGTAATACCATTTCTCATCCTCACTTTTTTTCCATAAGAAATTGAAAACATAAAGTAATAAAGAACATAAGGGAATTGGTAACCCAGTTTAGTGCAACAATACCTACATCTTAAGGGACTTCCAACCCATGAAAGAAAGTCCATTCTTAATAGTATTAGTATAATTAATCTTAGATGAACAACGCTTGTTCAATACCTACTTCCTAATACTACATGTATCTTTCTATTTATGACTCCCCCTAAATATGAGAACCACTATCACTTTCTCTCAATCACTACCCTAGTGATCAATGCCTTCAAAATATTACAAATGTTGAATTACAACATAACTAACAATCCACATCCAGGCCTTGAATATTAGTGTCAGGCTTCTTTTAGAGGTTTACAACAAACAACAATACAAAGACTCAAAGAACAAAAACCTTTGCACACTAGATCTTCAATGCTTACTTCGTGTGTCTTCAAAGGTATAGAAGAGTCTTTTTAAACAGCAGTCTATCTTCTAGGCTCTTTTCAATGGGCGTTAGATTTTAGAACAACCATATTTGATTTGCTTTAAAACATTCACAAAAAGATTTGATATTCATTCAATATTAAATCATCATTTGAATTGATTTGGTCTTAATAAATCTTTTAGCAAATCTTACTAAATAACATATTGCTAAAAGATACAAATCATAAACACCAGATCTTCTAGGAAACAAACTGAATTTTGCTAAAAAAAACTCACAATCCATGATCTGTAGACTGAGGCCTAACGATGCACACATGCTGGAACAACTTGTCACATATATTGCACCTTCACCAAAAACATGTCTTGTACTACACATGTTATTTTACCAAATGCATCCAATCAAAGGAACAACAATCAACCCCTTTAGCAATTTTTGGCTAAAACAACTTACAACCTTTCTACAAGATGAGTATGAAAATTCTCATACAGGAGAATACACACATACACGTATCAAAGTAGTTATACACACATCAGAGCAACAGTAGTATACACCAGCAGTGAGATCTTCTAGGAAACAAACTGAATTTCGCTCAGAAAAACTCACAATCCATGATCTATAGATTGAGGCCTAATGGTGCACACATGCTGGAACAACTTGTCACACATATTGCACCTTCACCAAAAACACATCTTGTACTACCCGTGTTATTTTACCAAATGCATCCAATCAAAGGAACAATAATCTACCCCTTTAGCAATTTTTAGCTAAAACAACTTACAACCTTTCTACAAGATGAGTAGGAAAATTCTCGTCCAGAAGAATACACACATACACATATCAAAGTAGTTATACACACATCAGAGCAACAACAGTATACACCAGCAGTGAGACTTATACACTTGCTCGCACACAAACATTCTCACATACTTAAAGGCCAAATGCCAGGCCAGATGCTCCAGCGTGTGAGCATATAACTAAACAAATTGAGTATAAAGTATCACACCACAAACCTGTTAGAACAAGATTTGGTTCTGCCAAATATCTCTAAGTTTTGATAATAATAAAGTAGTATTTATGCGAAAATAACTTTGGTACTCTAACGTTTGTTTTTCTGAAGAATAAACAAACAAGTTTTAACCCTGATAGAGAAAGCTTTGGCTCTAATAGAGACCATGTGCAACGTTACTCTGATTTGACCAAAGTCGCTTTTGCACCATAAAAGCAAGTCTGCTTATGATCTACTCACTTTCAGAAAGAGTCTAAGACAATATGTTGCTACTGCAATGCTCTCTTGGATTCAGGTTTTGAGTGTGACTCTGATGTCTTA